ACAAATTATAACAACGCCGGCAATAAGGACCCGGCTATACCTCAAAAGTAGAAGTCTACAACAAAGTATATACAACATAACCCCTTGAAGGAAGAAGGGGCTCACCAAGACTTTGAGAGGAGGACATTCCGCTACGCGTGATCGGCACTGTCCGCTACGGAACCACCTACATTCATTTAAAAATGTAGCGCCCCTGGCAAAAGAGACGTTATTACCATGGAATAGTACTAATATGTATAACTAAACACCATCTAGTTAGAAAGAACTTTCATACAGGAATAAGGAAATCACAAGTATAACTCAAACACTTTAAATGGTTACCACATTATCAAATAAAAGAATCATACAATTTTCACATCATTTTCCCATAGCTTTTAGTTTTGGGGCATTTCATATTGTTCATCATTTTCCACAATACCACTGCTATCTTGAACGGAGTCCAATCTCGACCCGATCGGATAGGTTGCCTCATTTGAGACATACACTTCAATCACAAATACAATACCACCATGTGTGCGGTATGGCGTCCGATCTCGGCTTGATCGGCTTGATCGGCTAGGCCGCCTTACCAAGGCGTTTCCCTTTTCCATCAATCATCTCATTTAAATATTTGTTTCACATATATCATTTCATAGGCACTTGGGGCCATAGCTATCACGTCATATATTTGGCACTAGGCTACATCTCACATCATTCCCAATTTCAATGTTAGATTTGTAATTTAGGATAATATGTGCACACAAGAGCAAATAAAATTGTAAGCATAGATGAGACTTCACATAGATGGCACAAAATATGCAGCTTCAATCTTAATTTAGGGTCTAGGCATTTCAATATATGATTCATATTCATTGCACCTTTTCAAGTTATCAAGAATAGCACTTCGACCACATTGAGACACATCTTTCACGCCTAGCTACAAGGTTACAACTCCAATTCATGTGAAACAACAATCAATATAACAATCCAACCTTAATCTTACCGCATTTACACAAATACCAACGGAGCTCAATTTCTAAAAGACGGGGTTTTAGCCATACATACCTTGATTGAGATTTCCCTTAATCCTATAATGTTCCGGAATGTTCGTACTTCAATCTATTTATGCAATGTAGCACAATTGAACCCATAATCAGGAAAAGATCATAGTTTAAGCTCACTTGAGCATTTTATCAAGCATTGAGTGTTCATCAAGGCCTTATGGTCCTTTTATGCAAGATTACACTAGACCTTTCCCCATGCCTCTCTATTTATAATTTCCCCATCTCTTCTAAGAACACATGCATGCAATGTAATCACCCTTATCCCCATGAATTACCTCACTAATGGACCCTTATAGCTATGTTTAAAATTAAGAGCTTAGGTGATGAAGTCTTACCTCCTGGGATGAAGATTTAGGTGCCTCACTTGATTATCTTCAATGTTTTAACAAGGATTTGTGGAGCAATTTTGATGAAAGGCACTTCCTTTCTCTGAGACATGCGGCCCACAAAATCGCAACAATGGTCCTAAAACCTGAACAGACTGTCTGGGTATGCGACAGAAATGTGGTCCGCATACCTGTTCTGCGGTCACATAATGCACCGCAGAACTGCTTCTCACAAAAATTCCTAGGGGATTATGCGATGACTATGCGGCCCGCATATTGATTATGTGTTCGCATAGTTGACCTCAAATTAACCAACAAACTGTCTGGCTCTGCGACGACTATGCGGTCCGCATAGCTACTATGCGATCACATAATGGACCGCAGAAATGCATTTTCCTGGAAAACATTATTCCTTAACTATTTAATGCACATATCAATCCAAAGGGTCTGAACCGCGGCCTAACTTGGCACTATGGGATTCGGGTTTTTGAGTAGTAATTTCACGGGGCCTTACATATACAATCATCATCCTCGATAATTTCCTATTGGTCCGATCTGGTCGAGGCCGGCGACTGTGGTTGCTATTTGACTTCCTGTTTTTCCTTTGTTTTGTTCCCTTTGTTGATGTTAGTGCCGATACTGGTATTACTTCATCAATTGCAAGCATCTCTTTGGTTGCTGGTTGTTCGTCGTACACCGTTTTGACTCCTTCCGGTGTTGGGAATTTCAACACTTGATGAAGCGTTGAAGGTGTTGCCCTCATATTATGGATCCAAGGTTTTCCGAGCAGCGCATTGTACCTCATATCACCTTCGATCACGTGGAACTTCGTTTCTTGGATAGTTCCGTCCACGTTTACTAGCAACATGATTTCCCCTTTGGTGGTTTCACTCGCCATGTTAAAATCGTTAAGCACTCGAGCTGCAGGCACGATTTGATCCTGAAAGACGAGCTGCTCCACGACCCTCGATCGAACAGATACTTGGATCAACCAACACACGTTTAACTTGAATTTTATTCATAAGGATAGATATTACCAGTGCGTCGTTGTGAGGCTGTTCGATCCCTTCTGCATCCCCATCACTGAAAGATAAGGTATCTTCTGGTAAGTAGTCCCGGGTAAACTTCACCCTTGTGATTGTAACTTCGGTGCGTTTAAATGTCGGACCCTGAGGAATATCGTCCCCACCGACGATCATATGAATCACGTGTTGCGGTTCCTCCTGTACATTTTTCATGTTTGCATCCTTGTCTCTGAAGTTATTTTTTGCTCAGACACTCAAGAACTCTCGAAGATGACCTTCGTTGAATAAACGGGCTACCTCCTCCCTTAATTGTCTGCAGTCTTCCGTTCTGTGACCATGGGTTCCATGGTACTTACACATTTGATTTGGATTCCTTTGAGCTGGATCGGTCTGCAGGGGTCTGGGCCATCTAGTATCCTTGATTCGTCCAATGGCTGACACAATACTTTAAACATCAACGGCGAAGTTGTATTCCGATAATCGTGGTGCTTTCTTAGGCTCGACATGTTTATCGAAGCCATTCATACTCATGAGCCCTCGAGAATTTTGACCTCGATCATTTCGAACGGGATTACGTCCCGGTCTGTTATTTCTACGATCTATGCTATATGATTGGTACCGATCTCTGTTCAATCGAGGCTCTCTATCGATGTCTCTTTGAATCCTGCCTTCGGATCTATTTGGGTAAACGGAACCAGACGGGGTTCCCAACTGATCATCCTCGACTCTGATCATTAATTGGTATCGATTATGCAAATCCGCCCAGGTCACCGTTGGATATTCAATCAAATTCTGCTTTAGTTGACGTGACGCTACCGAACTTCACTCGTTCAAACCTTGAGTAAAGGCTTGGACAGCCCAATCATCGGTAACCGGGGGTAGGTTCATGGGCTCCATCTGAAATCGAGATACGGATTTCCTTAGCATTTCATTGTCCTTTTGTCTCACTTTGAAGAGGTCTGACTTCCTAGTCGTGACCTTTATTGCTCCGGTGTGTGCCTTTACGAACGAATCGACAAGCATAGCAAAAGAATCGATGGAATTGGGCGGCAAATTGTGGTACCATATCATTGCCCATTTGATAAAGCTTCTCCAAAAAATTTCAACAAAACAGATTCGATTACATCGTCTTCTAAGTCATTTCCTTTTATTGCGCATGTATAAGAAGTGATATGTTCGTTAGGATCAGTGGTTCCATTGTACTTGGGAATTTCTGGCATGCGGAATTTCTTCGGAATGGGCTTCGGAGCCGCACTTGGTGGGAAAGGCTACTGTACGAACTTTTTTGAGTCCAAACCCTTCAGAATCGAGGGTGCCCCCGGTATTTGATCAACCCGGGAGTTGTATGTTTCTACCTTTTTATCATTAGCCTCGATCTTCTTTTCTCCCGATTCAATCCGTTTGGTGAGCTCCTCGAGCATCTTCATGATGGCAGGATCAGTTCTCGATCCATTATCGTTCAATTTCTCCTGTACGGGTTCGACCCTATGAACAACTTCCTATGATGCATCGAGTTCGATTTTGCTTGGGGCTCGATTCTGATTTTGGAGTTGCGCTATCTCGGCATGCTGAGTTTGTAGCATGTCAAATATCATTCGAAGGCTAATTCCGCCTTCTTCACCATTTTATGCATTTTGATCGGCTGCCCGGGCGTCTCTGCAGACGCTATTTTCAGGGTCGACGCCTAAATCTCCACGAATGGCAACACGAGAACTGACATCAACCAGATCTACGACCTGCAGTGCGTCGGGATTGATTGGAGGCACTCCGTTTCCCGAGGCGACTACGTGTTCGTTTTCGCCATGAAAACCAAAGGCGATATCAGTGAGTGGGTACTGCTTGAGAGTTCAACATGTTGATTCCTGAAATCATTTTACATATGTGTTATGAAGATTAAAATATTAAGCAATCACTATTATCCTTAGCTTCACGGTGGACGCCAAATTGTTTATCCTAAAAATTGAGTAATAATTAAACTTGTAATATGATTTTAAAGATACGTGATTTCACTTAATATCAATTGAGAAACGTGAAGATAAGGAATAAAAATTTACAATAATGTAAAGCGAACCAGTGTTTAAACAAAGCCCTCGAGTTGGAATAGCCTCGAACTAGTAGAGCTAGAACAGTTAAAAAGCAACAAACTAATGAACAAGAGGACGTGAATTAAAGAGAGAATATGATATTCCTTTTATCTGTGTGAATGTAAGTAGGTTACGAAATGATTAGGGTCCTCTTTATATAGCAGAAGAGTCCTAGTTATGGTACAATTCTATTATGGAAGTAAATCCCATGATTGATACGAATAACCGCCCTTGATATGATTTGTTCCGGGATTTCCGCCGTGATCTCCGACCGATTACGAATATCTCGCATTTCCGTTATTGTACTTCACTCGAAGTTGGTCATACTTAGTCTCGATCGCTGCTGGCCTCAATCTCGACGGGCACCTCGATTCTTGAACTTGACACCCCGTCTTCGTACTCTGGCCCGTTCCATTACGAGGCCGACCCCCAACGCGATCCCCTAGTCTCGATTAAATAGCAAGATCGGGTGAGCTTAGCTGTATACATAGATCTTAAGAAATAAAAAAATCAGAAACATGGTCGTCTTGATCACTCGAGCAATTGACTACGAGCACCAGTAATTATAGTCACAAAAATGACAAGCCATGTATATTACACCCAACCAGAGATGAGACCTACTGACTTAAATCATCTAAACCTCTTCACATCTGTCAGTCGCAAGGTTCAATCGAAACTAACCAAACCATAACTGTCAAGATTTACATGGACTGAGTTCTTCAGCCGTTTTTCTGTGTTGTATGTTCTATATTGCCGCCATAAGACTTCTATTGCTAAATATTACATTGCTACACTTTGCTGCAAAGTGTTCAACAGCGAGTATCCTAAAAATATGATTTTTGTGTGCGTGTGGCGAGGGGTGTTTGGGGGGGGGGTACTTCCACATTTCTCTCTAAATCCCCTTGCCTAGCAGGATCTTGCATTCCTTCCCATACTTGTTCTCGATGGTTTTCAGCCTTTCAAATATTAAGTTGAATTCATGCCCCTTTATCATTGTCAACAATCATGACCTACACTGGAACTTTCCTGCCTCAGTGACCATTTTTGGGACAAAAGGCTTCATATCTGCACTGACATAGCATGAAATGCCTTGAGCAGGAAAAAGCACATAAAAGAGGCACTAGAGAACAACATTTTGCCATAATTATCAACAATATTATGAGTGAGATTTACCTACCAGAGGCTCAAAGACACCATGAATTTCACAGCATATTTTCTGCGTATAATAATTCAGGATACACAGAAGATACCATTTGCTTTAACCAGTTCATAGATTCTTTTAAAAATGCATGTCCTTCCGCAGCTGCAAGTACCAATGAAGAATAATAAATTGACGTAGCCAGATATAGCAAACGCATTAACAACCACCGTGCAGAAAGAATCAAACAGTTACTACCTTTACTCAGTGCATGAAATTCCTTTGAGAAGTCCTCAACACGTCCATGGACAGGTCTCATTCCACAGATTTGGATCACACAAAATTCCAGGTACAATGCCATTACTGTTATTTGCAACAGTAGAATACAGACCCCTTGAATTTCAGAAGTAACCTGCTTCAACTTGTGGGCTTCACACAATTCAGTGATGATAGAAATTCCTTGATCCTACAACCAAAAGGTGAAACATAGCCTAAGCATCATAAGACTGCTCAAAAGTATCTTTTAGGAAGGGCATATGGCCGTGTACTCGTGAAGCTTTAAAAACTGACCAACTGAGTTGAAAACTACGTGCAGTTCTCTCCTTTTTACATCCTACAGCACAAAATTTGTATTCCTCACATTGTCTACATAAAATTAAATTTGATCATCTTCTAAGAATTACTCTCGACTGCAAAAACACGTCAAGTGATTAAAATAGTCAAAACTCTCAAAAGAAAACTAAAGATTAAAATTAACAAACTTAAACTGGGGAGCACATAAATATCGAGAGCAACATGCTGAGTTCTGCAGAAGCAATTAAATAAAATTGATCCATTCTGTTAGTTCCGTTGATTTTCCCTTTAAACAAGACAAGTGGTTAGAATAAGAATGCCCTGGGAGGTCACCCTGCAATCTTAAGCCTCAATGGTTAGGCACATGGAAACCACTGCCTCCATCAAAAACTTAAATTAGAATACTCACAGGGACTTGAGCTCAATGCATAAATCATGCAAAAATCAACTATGGAAAGAGGAAGATAAAACAGACAAAAATGATCTGGGTGTTTCACCTGCAAGCAGTGAAGGATATCAGGCATTGGTAGCTCTGGGAAACGTGCAAGATCAACAAAACCCGCTTCTTCAGCCCTTTCAGCAGCTTCTTCAGCTTGTAGACATAAAAACTTGAGCAGAAGACAGGTAATTCTGTATATCTGAATAGACATTGCATCTGAAAAATGAGACTGCGTAGTCAGATTAGCATGCTCATTTGTTTGATCTTTGATCACAATAGCAGTTCTTGACGAAAAAGATGAATATTTGGGATTTAGACCGCAGCAAAGAGCAGAAAGAGCAAACCAGCCCTTTTTGCTATTGATATATGATGGCTTTTTGTGCCACTCGTACTCCTCTCGGAGGGTAGGATGACAAAAGATGGGGGGAGCTCTTCCTGGCGATTCCCCATGACGCTGTGTACCGCAGCTAATAAAGGCCAATAAATGGATGCATCTTTCCCTTAACTGTGACTCCATTTCTTTCATGGCCCTAGACCAGGCATTCCTGTGCTTTGCCAGAACACAGATTAACATAACCGTGTTTTCACTCTCTCTAAGACAACTCAATGAAGTATGTGGTTTGAGTGCCCGAGGTCTTTTCTTATCATGATCATCTGATGGAAAATCCGGAGCACTAAGATAATATGAAATTAGATCAGCCTTCTCCAAGAAGAAGTAAGTCATCACGTGATCCACATTTAAAATCGAAGTTTCTCCTAAAGAGTTAATAATTGCTGTAACCACAGCCAAGCTAAGTCCCCAAATGGGTGGAGACCTTTCATTATTCTCAAAGGAGTTTGCCAGATTTCTCTCATTCTCAACTACTGAGAGAGGTCTACCATTAGATAGATCAGCTAACAATACTCTTAATGATGCAAAGAAACCAGCATTCAGAAGCATCTCAGCACCTTCCTTCACATGTGCAATAGTCAAAAGAAACTTCAATATTATGTCAATGACTGAATAAGAGCTTTTGTCTTGAAGCTTAAGAACAATATGCTGCATCGGAAGATGCTTTTGAATGACAGGGAACCAAGTGGCAGGTGTTGAAAAACCTTTGAGTACTTGGTCGATAATAATCATAGAGATGGAGCAGTGTCCAGTAAGTTCTATACAGTTGCAAAGCAATGGTAGTAGCCCCAAGCTCGCATTAGCTGCCTCAGGTAAGACTTCATTATGCTCCATTTCTGTTCGTACACCAAGGCGAGAATCTTTCCAACTTGACTTGAGTGAAAAGAGAATCAGCTCCAGAAATATTTTCATTGTACTAAGGACACCAGTAGCCAATGGCCTACAGTTGCTCAACACCTTGAGGCCATAACCTACAGTTTTTAATATGAGAAGGCACATAGATAAAGACAATTGTGCATTCAGCGACCTGGTAAAGCGGAAAAGCAGGTCTGCTTGAGCTGCAAGAATTTCAACTATGTCTTTACTAGCATCAGGGACTGGGACTAACAGCTCGATTGTGCGGGTGAGAGACTCGCATATATTGTCAATGCTAGATGACAATAATTTTTCAGGAATATTTCTGGCAGTTTTAACCTCGTTCTCAACTGACTGCATAAACAGGGAAACCATATCAGTCATAGCAAACCAAATATATACAGCTACCCTTGGAGAAATTATAGAGTCAGCATGAGTTCAGACATTTTTACATACGAAAACCACGCCAAAATCCTAAGCGAGTTGAGGTCAACTATATGAACCCTCACTAACAATGTCCCTCCATTTAAGTCCATTTTGGATCAATATTATACAAAATAAAAATACAAGTTCTCTATATTTTCTATTGGCATATAAATCTCACACAAGACTAAAAGACACCATGAAAACATAGGACTTAAAGTAAATGTACAAACATGACTAGAACAATATTCACGACTTATTTTTATCACCTACAGACCTTTTTTTTCATTGTGCCCTGCTTTTTCCTAGTGTGCATGGATTCCAAGAAATTGTAGGTCATTGGAAACAACTTCCTTATATGTAATTTTTGAGTCAAAGAAGTGGCTAAATGGTAATAGCTTCTAAAATTTTGGCTAATGCTTGATATTTGCCAATTTTTTCCGTCTCACCAACCATGGTATTTCACCAAAGTTTGACAATGTAAGGATTTTCTAAATGAGTTGAATGAACTCGATGACGAAACTTATAATTCTTAACAACCATCTAAGTACATATAAATACAATGTTATAGAGCTATAAGATTTAAAAACCCACAGTAAGGTAAATGACCTAGATCTAGAGCAAAAACGACGAAACTGAACATGCAACTAAATTTGGAGCTAACAGCATCACCATGGATAACATTGTTGCCGACGCTTTTTTAAGACAAAAGCACATACGAATGAGAATCAGCAAGGTCAAATGACTTAAATGTAGGAGACAAACTATTAGAAGTCAAATGCAACTGACAGCAGCACTCACATCAACATTGTCAGATATGGAGAAAGCTGTTGTCAAAGCTATTAAAGCTGAAAGCTTGGATCTTGTGAGTGACACCATTAAATTCACATTCTGCAACGAGAGCAACAGCGCTTCTGCAACCGCTTTAGATGCTTTCCAATCCGAAATATCCCACAAATCAATTGCCATGTCCCCTTGCAGACGATCAGTGTCATACAAGCAGACACCATCAGTTTGAGGGAAAATGTCCTCATCGTGCTTACGGCGATACGTTTGCAAAAAATCTGACTCTAGCAGATATTCTGACAGCTCCTTGAATGGTCTGTGGGCAATCTGTCTACCTTCAAGCTCTCCTTGCAGATGATAGAATAGATCATTGAGAATTAAGTCATCCAATTCATTTCCTCCACTGGAAGAAAACGGAATAGAAGGAAGAAAGATTTAAGTCTTGCATCCGTGTCATAAATTACAGTGAACTTGTAGAATATATTGATCCACTGAAGATATATAAAATACTTTTGCATTTCAATTGCCTCTACTTAAATATTAGGTTAATTATATCAAATATAATTAACTACTACACCAATGACATTCTGCCTGAACTCTTTGAGTAACAGATTGCTAAAAATCCATAACAGTTTACTTCAGATAACATTATAATCACAATATCCCTGCGAGATAATAACTGAGTACAAATAAATAGACAAACCAGTCCCAGGAAGAGTCTCACTTCAGCAAGGCATGACAATACTGAGCACTTACCTATAACCACGGTGCACATAATAACCCATCAACTCAGAAAAGGCTGGTAACTTCCTCAACTGTAGAAGAGAAAACAAATTTAAGGTAGAAAATAAGTCTCTTTAATAAAGCTATAGTTGTAACAAATGCCAAAGGCACGAAAGTTTGCAAACTGCAGTTGACAGGTTGATAAAATTCAGGAGACATCAATTGTTGTTTTTATGTATCAGTTCTTTGATTAGAGTAAATGGAATAAATGGCGAAGGGATGAAACCGCAACATTGTATGAGAAGCTGCAAATAAATATAAAAAAGAATAAAACCTTTTGCCACAAGTTAGTAACTTTATCGATAAGTGAAACAGACAAACTTCCTCTATCACCGCTTTTCACTTTACACATCACCCGCACAGCAAATAAACCAGCAGCAACCTGTAAGCACTATCAACTAAAATTAAAGGTATATTCTGATGTATAAACAAGGGACAATAAGAAGAAGATTTCCAAAACATACTGAAAAGCCTCATATTGTTATAAAAGATATAACAAGCTGTTTTGGAATATTCCCCTCTGAATGTGATATTAAGAACAAAATCAGAATAAAACAATCAGGAAAACAGTGAGTAGAATTTAAATGAAAATCTGATTAAGCCCTAGAGAGTAGGAAAAGACTCTCACAATAAAGTGTTTATTTTGCCGCAAAAGAAACAAAAAGAGAGCGTTGCAAAATGGAGATCAAAAGTATACCGACTTTGAACAAGAAAAACAATAGAACCAGCCCTCTAAGAAGACAGATAAAACCTTTAACATGATACATGAGATATCCAATTTAAATAATATATTATTTAGATAGCACAACTTGTATAAGTGTATTGACATTTCAACCAAGGATGACCACCAACAAAAGGGACAAGTATCATAATTTTGACCTCAACAACCAGTGAAGTGAGAACTGCTCTTCTTCTCAGCTTCTTACTTGCCACCAACCCTTGAGGCTGATCTATCAGAACAATTCATAAGTAGATCATTACATCTCCCAAAATCAAAATGCAACTGAAAAATTCATATAACCAAGCCACCTGATTCATTTGCTCCCTCGTCCATTTTTACAAATTCCAGTTTTGCAAGGTTAACTTTGCCACCTTTGCTGGTATATGTTTTTTCAGTTAAGCCAATCAATAACTTTTTCAATTGGTGAATCAAAGATCAGTATTCATGATAAGATTGTAGTAACATTGTAGGTATCATTCTGTAACGGTAGATTCATTCTGATCCATGATAAATGGTCTGTTTCTCTGGAAGACAGGTAAAAGCAAAAGTGTAGGGGTGAATAAGGATTTCAGGTTTCTGGGTTTGCAGCTGCTAGAGTTAAGCTTAGACTGGGGAAAGCACAAAGTGGTAGTTATCAGTAAAGAGAAGAGGTGATGACAAAGAAGAAGGGACTCTGGTATTCAGAAACAGAAGGGTGAAGGCTGCCAAGTAAGGTGTAAATTAGTTGGGAGTATATATAAACTGTAAAAGGGTACTAACACCTTATTGTCACTCTTAGTCTCTTTAACATCCTAAAACTCTACTGGATTTAAGCATAACAACAATTTGTTTGGGAGACCACCATTTCGCTAGAAAGGAACAGAAGATGTTTTATGGGAGGGAAGATGTAATTTGGGAGCTTGCCCTCATCTTTTGAAATTTTGCTAGTACCCTCTTAGCCTTATGAATTAATTAAAACAATGTACCTTATCCACGGAAGAAAAAAAAACCAGAATACCTCGGGAACCCCCTAAACTTGACATGTTTGCCTAGTTCAAATTACCCACCCTAAACTTGGCATTTCGATAGCTTCGACCCCCCTAACCAATCTCACCTAATGGGGTGAGACATGCCCTGCCACGTAAAAAAAATTTCCATGTAACATTTTTTAAAAATACAATATTTTATTACCTTTCTAAATTTGTTAACTTTTTGGATCATATTTTTCAGGCCCAATTTGTTTAGGGGGAAAAATGATTGTAAAGGCTCAAATTTTCTTTATCTTTTGTTAAGCTAAAAGTAATGGAGTTTCACCCAAATTTTTGCAGATCTGGCCCAAAAGAAGAAGAATTTGAAACAAATTGTCATTGTATCTAAAGAAGAAGAAAAAAAAAATACACAGTTAGAACTCCATTATTTTGGCTAAAAATAATAAGTACCAGATAAAAAAATTCATTGATTTGGCCAGAAAAGAAGAAATATATAGTTGAAAGAAATAGTCATTGCATCTAAAGAAGGATAAAAAGAACAAGACAGTTGGAACTCCTCTATTTTGGCTAAAAAAAATTATTTGGCTAAAAACGATAGAATTACGGTCAATTTTTTTTGTAGATGTGGCCCTAAAACAATAAAAATTACTTATAGTTGAAACAAATAGTCATTGCATCTAAAGAAGAAATAAAAGGAAGTAGAAAGTTGGGAACAAATATGCATGGTATGTTAAGAAAAACACAAGAAGAAATATAAATTCGGTACAAATAAATCATTCTATATGACTACATGACGATCAATAGTTGAAAAAACCCCCACCTACAAGCTAATTTTTCGATTTTTTTTAGCCCCACGTGCCTAAAAGAGAGTGTATTCATGCTCTTTTTCATGTCAGTGTTTAGGGGTCAAGGCTCTCAAACTGCCAAGTTCAGAGGGATAATCTGCACAAAAAATAGTGCAGCTGTGCACTAGATAAAACATGTCAAGTTTAGGGGGACCTCAAAGTATTCACCATAACACCAATTCTGACATTCTATCACCACCTTAACATTGTGACATGCACCATCAAACTCAGGGTTGAATACCATTTGCTTAATTAAAAAAAGTAATACAATAAATAAACAGTCACCAAAATGTTGAACAATCACTAGAAGAGCTTTAGAATAGTATCACATGAACAATTGACAAACCTGACAAAACTTCGTCGGAATCATGCTGGGTAAGATTTGACCATGGGAATCTAGAAAAATAGTTGGAAGAATAACCAAAACAGTGGCAAGAAAGAGGCGGTTCCACCCAAAACATTCACGGAAAAGATGTGATCCTCCAGAACAGTGACCAAAAAAGATGCAGTGCCTCCAAAACGTTCATCAGGGAAAACGAGAGGTGCCTCAGAACAGTCACCGGTTAAAATGCAGAACCCCCAGAACGTGACAAAAGGAAAATAAGCAATACTGACGGGGATGGTCACCGAAGATAAGGCATAGTGCTCCAAGATGGTCGACATAAATAGGAATAACACCGTGGGAACTTATCACTGGGAAGACGAAAAGATAATAAAACTATGAAAATAAAGAAAGATTTGGATTGATGAACCACATGCAACATCTAATAGGTAGAAGCTGTTAAGGGCTCTATCAAGATCTTAAAGACTCTCCTGAGAAAATAAGAGAAGAGAAAGTTGTATTGATGACCTGACAATTTGATGAACATAAGATACATCTATTTATATGTGTCAAACAATATACATGTATGTTTGTCCAAAGTGAAATAAAGTTTAAGACTCAACACCCCTGACATATTAACTCGAACATTCTTTTTTATGGGTATTCTAACTCGAATATTTAAGCACTAACACTTTACATTGTAACTTAACCAAATGTTACACTAATTTATTTCAGCTCCTCAAGCCACTAGCCAGAAATTACAATCTGTCCTACAATTCAAGCACCTAAAAAGCTTTAGTTTTAATCCAAAAGGTACCAATTGCAAAGTAAAAAAGAATGCTTCTACCCTTACTCATATTCACTATCAAAATGAAGCGGAACATCAGAACTAGCAATGATGTAAGCTGACATAAACCAACATAGAGACTTATTTACTACGTTCAACCTGAATGAGAAAACAAGAGTACCAGGAAGTACAGCTCACCCTTGCATGCAGATTTAAAGAATCATCATACTCAAATGAAACAAACATCTTGATAGTCTCCGCATCCAATGAGCTCCCACACCACACTCCAAAAATATCCTTCAGGTTAGATGCACTTTCAGGTGTTGGTACTTTAGAGCCATCAGACCCATTATGTAATGATTTGGAAGATTCTTTTTTGACCAACTCAGAATGTAAAATATTTTTCTGCAGGAACATCTCATAGGCCACTACATCCAATACATTATGTTGACATTGATATCTGTATACCAGATTTTGAAGCTCCAATTTAGTCGCACTTTCAGATTGGCAACTATTCTTACCAATAGAAAGCACAACAGAATTCAATAGCTTTTTCCAGAAGTCTGAGTTTCTCAGCTGCTTCAGGAGATTTGTATAATGAGCAGCTCCTTCCCATAATGCATTTAGGAAGTTTAGCATATTAGACAGTATATGTGATTTGCTGAAAGAAACCAAAAAAAAATATCTTAAATCAAATCATGAAGCACCTCAACAATAAAATGCCGTAAGGGCTATTGTAACAATTTACGGCATAATATAAAAGACCAGAAACCTTACGTCATCACAAGATCATCAGCTCTTTTAACATAAACCCATATGGAATCTAATATATTTGCAGAATTGCACTGCAATGCATCATTGTCTCCAGGTTGATTGTCACCATTGCATGATTCAGAAATTGGATTTTCTCTCAAAGCAATCACAGCGGTAAGAAAAGAAGCCTGCGATAGAACGATTTCCAATTTTAATACAACAAAGGACCAAAATTAGTGTCTACTTCATACCCAAATCAGCACTTAAAAACTAAATTTATTAAAGGATTAGACACTAGATGTCAATAGTATCAAAAGATTGAACTACGTACCTTTTAGTGACATCTAAATTGATATGAACAGTTTATGCATGAGTTTCCATTGAAACAAAAAGAATGGCTAATCATAAGATGTCATATGACACATTCTAAATAGCTATGTTGCACGGACTCTCCAAAATGATGCCGCACCCGTGTTGGATCCTCCAAAATTATACTATTTTTGGAGGATCCGACACGCACCCGGCAAGATTTTCGGAGAGTCCGAGCAACATAGCTAAATAGACAATAATCTCATATTTAAAAGTCCAAATATCTATTTTAAAAAGGGCAAATTTGAGAAGTATAAATATCTGGTCGAGTAAGCACATCAAAATGACAAAGTTTAACACAGCAGAATACAAGAAATTTGTATAGCACACTAAATATTAAAAAATAATAAGCTTTAGAAGACAATTCAATATGAAATTAATGACGTTCAAAACGATTTCCATAGTGGACTTCAGTTATTTAGTGATAAGATGTTCATTCAGATTTCAGCTTTACCAAACAGCCTATTAGTAGATCTCTTGACATAAGGGATACATAAACAAAGGCATCATGACTAGTTGGTACAGACACACAGTATAAGATACAGCAGGATGGAGCAAGGAGTTTACATTCTCCACATGGTTGCCTAAGGTAAAAAGCAGTGGGTACAAACTGTTATTTATATATCTTCACCCCCATTGGAACAAAAAGTAGTTGCAAACACCTGGGCAAGTGCTCCAGAAGCGTTGAATAAAGATGTACGATAGTCATTAACAATTCTCGATGACCTTAAAATTGATTTAAGAGGCAAAACGGTCATAATATGTCAAGTTGTCCTTCATTCTTCCCATCAAATAATTGGTGGAATATTTCAATATCAAGGAAAACTTGGGACACAACTACTACAACATCTTCCTTCTTCCCCATTTCTTTTTTTTCTTTTTTTTTTTTTTTTTTTTTTGATAATCTAGAAATCCCGAGGTCAATGGTGCACGGTTCGAAACTCGATGTAGATAATGAGTCTACCCCTGCACCCTTCTCCACTTATATACCAGGCTTTTGTCTGCAGCAAGGTTCGAACATGTGATATGCGCCTAGCCCACACATCATGTGTTGTACACTTACCACTGGACCAAAGCCTTGGGGACAGAAGTTGGGCTGATAGTATCAGAACTGGTACCTTATTTGTTTTCTACTTTACCCATGACCACGAACATCTGTCAACTTGGATCAAGCTTGAGGCACAAGGGCTCAAAGACTTTATGCTAGATAGTAGCTTTACAATACTCCTGGACTATAGGTCATCCAGACATACTAGATCCCAAGTCTGGCAGTAATGCAGCAGATTATGAGCTCAAAAGGAAAGCAAGTAGTATGTTACCTGATAACGTGCAGCAGAAGCAAGCATCTTGAAAGTAGCAATTATGAGATCCTCACTTTCTACCTTCTCTTGACAAAGAATGCTACAAATCGTATTTTTAAAATTATAGATCTGCAAATGCATTTGCTGGTATCAGTTAAAAGCAGCTTACATTCAACCTTCAAAATTTTAAACTAACAAGAAAATAACACCGATATTGTAAAGCTAAACCTGCTTGTCATCCAGACCAAAATATGCATTGCTAAGCGCACATGATTGCGAGTCGTCTGCAATAACAAATAATCTGGATTGCACTCTTGCAGCACCCACCTGTATCTTCTGAATAGGCAGCACAAGTTCATGAGAATTTAGCTTAGTTATATTCGACCTTGGAATGACTTAAATGGAACCTATTTTGGTTTCCTTTTGAATGATAAGAACATCAAGAACTCTATTTTGAGAAATGGAAAAATATTTCTTCTAATTTTTCGTACAACCCGGAAATTAAAATAATATTTAAAAAATATTTTAAAAATGGGGAAAAGTAGATAGATACTACAACAACAACAACAACAACCCAGTGAAATTCCACAAGTGGTGTTTGAGAGGGTGTGGAGGTCAAGAATTAGGATAAAAGGTTACTAGGTGGTCGAGCGTGTCTTTTGAAAAGTAAATAGATGCATCTTAAAAATGTTGCAACCTTCAATTGGAAAGAAGTGCACAGAAGAGAGCCAGGGGTCAAACAAATAGAACCCATACGTGCAATAAATATTTTAGATTTTGCTGATCATCAAAAACCTGTTCATTCCTTTTTTCTTTCCCCCCTAAAAGGACCTTGATGCAGCACATAAGTCTTCTTCCTCAAACATCTAAATTCAAGATCAAGTTCTTTCTTGTAGTTTATACTTTATACTCCCCAAAATTCTCTATTAGAAAATTTACAAAGTCTGATTTCATTTATAAAATTAAAACAAATCCATTTCATTTCTCTTTGTAATCAGCATTTAGGTTCCGTACGAATCTTGTCACATTTCGTTGCATAATCTAGTATTGCTAGATGCTGACATGAGGCATGTTTAAACCCTGAAGTTATGTGACACCCTGTTTAGAGATGCTTTAGTGCAGTCATCAAAGCACTAAGGCATGCACCTTATGGACTCTGTCATTAAGAGTCTAGCACTAGACGATAAATAGAGTTGGCGAATTGGTATATCGATTATTAACAAAATGTCATGAATAAATTATTTAGACAAATTAAGAATTGAGAAATTATAAATTTGTAAGGAAATTAGTTACCAAACACCTCAAGTGGCAAATTTACATCTGAATCTAAAATAGTTCTGGAACTTGATTAACATGACAGGAGTGTTCCAATCGCTTGCGCGCATCTCAACCATTGGGTACTTGTTACATCCCACCATCACAGGAATCGGGTAACTCTTCCTACCAAGGATTAGGCGCATGGTAAGAAATCACCTAGTTTTTTTGTCTTTGCTGAGATTTAAACTCTGGTTTCCAAAGTTTGCATCCACTTCATGGACCACTACGCCACAACCTTAAGTACTACCTAACATGATTTTTACTTCCTATATTTCATTTAGTTAATTTTTTCCAATATTTTAAGTAAGTCAATTTCTCAAATAATAATTGTTTACGTAACTCAATTTCCTTCCATTACACATATAATTTAGATTACTTCAATAGCAGCTGCCAAAGTCTTTTTTTTAATTATGCTTTGCGCTTCAAGCACCGGCAGACCTTGACATTTTTCTATATTCTTCAGCTTTGGCAACTTTGGTATAATCTAAATCTCTCTTAAAGGTCATTTTTCTTTTTCTTTGGATTCATATCTCTTCCCCTTGCTTAGTTAATAGTAATTTTAAACTATTTTCTTTTTCTTAGTTAATGACATGTGTCACGACCCCATTGATGCGTGACATACTTGTTTGGAAAAAGCGATTAAATACCAATGCGATGTGTAAAAGACACAGTTGGAAAAACGTTTTGGTTTGAGAAGGCCGCCCGGGTAACAGGGGTGTGTCAAAGGGATTTGCGTTCAAGATGAGAGGGCAAAGTATGGATTAACCCAAATTGTAAAGGAAAACGACTTTAGGTCTAACTCATCCCCAAAAAGTAGCTTATGAGGTAAGGATTTAACCGAACCATACAAGGAGATAGTAACCCATTCTCTCCATGTAGGACACTTAACAAACCATTCCCCTGAGCACACCAAGACAATATATCTTAGCATGTGGACTACATAGAGCACACTTTCTTTTTACCCAAGAATAGGAATGGGTTGATATATCATGTTAAGAGAAAGAATATTAGGCCTAACTCAACTACAATAGTTAAATCATGAGGTGAGGATTGTCTAACACCATATTAGGAGATAACAATTCATTCCTTTAATCAATATGGGATACGTAACAAAAATTATGCAACTAGATACACATGTAAAATCGCATGAAATAAATTAATTTGGAAAAACGCTCCTTGATAGACACATATGGCATGAAGAACATGAATTGAGGAAAGTGGCAGAAGCTAGATGCAAAAGTGAAACACTGAATTCATGATGGTTTTGAATATAAGCTATAACATGTGACTCTAGCTGCATCATTTCAGTTGGGATGGGCTACAAATACAAAAACTATGAAGCAGAAAACGAAGGATCTTTCAAGGATTATGCCAGGGGAATACTCTTTTTTCAAAAGAAAGGTTAATAACTTTACTAAAAATGGGATAAAAACTCCCGTGTAAAAGCAGTATACCAACAAGCATACCAGGATAAATTATAGTCGTTTCAGAATAACGGCTGAGATAGCAGTTTACCCTGAATGGGATAAAAACATAATATAAAATTGTCAGAAACTTTGGGATAGTACATGAAATTCACATGTTTTGTTTTGACCATTATTGTTGTATACCAAAATAAAAAATGTGAAAGTATCCCCTCTCTGACAACATACGCTTTTATGTGAAGGGACACTCAATGCAACATAGTAACAGAGCAAGCAGAGCTCCTGATTCAAGTCTTACTGGCACCCAAATTAATAAAACAATTTTCCACATGCTTGGCCAAAAACAAAAGAACTAGGCAAGCACGTGAGAAGACGTGTTTGCAGACCTAAATAAATAAAGGTGTCCCCTCTCTGACAGCATATGCCTATAGATGAGGTGGTCAATTAATTCAACAATTACCACTACAGATAACTTTGGCAAGTTGAGGAAAGTAGGTAGCTGGCTGAAAGAAATTCGATCCAAATTTAGATTAGACTAATGCAACTATCAGGCTTGGAAATGAGACAGCACCGCAGAAACAGAATTTCAGCACCGGTGCAGCAATACCTGACCTCAATACGGAAATTAGCACTGTAAACCATGATAACACAGGAAGAATAGGGACCGACAATCTTCAAAACCTTAACACAGTTAAAGGAAATAATCTAGTGAAACTGTATTATCCCAACAATTGCAAGGGTGATATCAAAGTGAATGCATCCATGCTCTAGCGAAATGAACAGAAAATTCCTTAATTCCANGCGAAATGAACAGAAAACTCCTTAATTCCGAAGAAATGTGGTAAAACAACAAAGCAAGTGCATTTTAACTAAATAGTGATGATAATATCAGGATTTACAACATACAGGATTTCGGAAGAATGACATCAATGATATCGCTGCAGTAACCACAGGCACTGGTTTTGTCGTCGATGACATGATTGCCTGATGAAAGACAGTGAAATTGGGCACATCCTGAAATGAAGCACAAGCAGATCTTAGTATCTGCTTCAAACATATCATAAAAGTCAAACAAGATCAGGGATATCCATGACCAGTGGTCACTTGAAACTAAAGTTCAGTCAGCCTGTGTGCTGTAAATTATTTGTATACACTGATTCCAGCAGTAAAAGAAAGCAGAAAATAGAACTCTGAATTCTATAAATACCACAGATGAGAGAGAAAGAAACAACTCAAACAGGGTGTAGGTATGAAAAAAGAACTCTGACAAAGATCATAAATTCCAAGCTGGGACCCCTTTCACTTTATTAAAGATCAGAATACTTTATTCAGATCTCTCAAAATAATGCAAGTGTCATTGGCACCTGGTGTTGTTGACAACAGACTCAATCTGCATCCCCAGAAAAATTAAACTCGGATTCAACAACAACAACATTAGCTAGTGTATTCCCACATTGTGGGGTCTGGGGAGGATAAAGTATATGTAGACTTTACCCCTACCTTGTGGAGGTAGAGAGGATTTTTCTGAAAAACCCTCGGCTCAAGAAAAACAATTCACATCAGGTTTGAACAAGAGAACAGTAATGAAGAGGCCTTGTTGAAAATACTAAAAACAAGAACATTAACAACAGCAAAATAACAACGCAATAAGATAACCGAACAACGGATAATAATGGAAATCGCAGAATAAGAAAAATACGAAATGATAATTCTAATACTGATATATGGGGAAAAAGGAGGAGATACGGTGTCTCAAACTCGACGGCCTACTAACCTTTTACCCTAATCTTCGACCTCCATATCTTCCTATCTAGGGTCATGTCCTCGGTAAGTTGGAGACATATCATGCCCTGTCTAATCACTTCCCCAATACTTTTTTGGCCTACCCCTACCTATCCTCGGACCCGCAATAGCTAACCTCTCACATCTCCTCACTGGGGCATCTGTGCATCTCTTCTTTTTACATGCCCGTACCATCTCAGTCTCACTTCCCTCATCTTATCGTCCACATAGGCCATACCCACCTTGTCTCGAATAACTTCGTTCCTAATTAAATCTCTCCTAGTACGCCCACATATACACCTCAGCATCCTCATTTCCGCTACTTTCATTTTATGGGCGTAAGAGTTCTTGAAAGAAAAATAAAGTCAGATTGAGCCCAAAAAAGAAAAACGCATATTATATTGCTCTCATCCTCTCTCACCCACAGCAGAAGCAGTCATCCCAGGATGAATTTCTCAAGCATTTCTATTCCCATAGAAATAAGCTAGTTAGTAAAAGACGAGAATGAAATTGTCTTTATTAAACCTGAGGTGGAAAAGAAAGGGGCACCGGGATAAAAGAAAAGTGAACTTCCTTCCAAGTCGTGCAACCCTTCAAAGAAGTTCAACGTAAGAGATGCTAGTTGCGAAAAATTTATGAAGCATACCCTTGAGAGATCAGAAAGCATACTGGAAAGAATATCCAATCCCAAGACAATTGCCTGTTGTAAACCTTCGATTTCTGTCAGCCCATAAAGTCGGCTAAAATAGAGCTTCTATTGAAGGTGAAGATAAAACATAAAACATAAAAAATGGTTAATAGAGTTTATCTTCAAAACATAAAGCAATGTACTGCTGATTCTACATGCTGGCTGAGCATTCAGAGCGCATTAGGAGTTTATTAGCATATTCAAGAGCTGCAAGATTCACCTCCAGGCCATCTGAAGTTGTACAAACAAGTCGAAATAGTGCACTGTGGATTGAAGAATCACCAAGTAAAATATCCCTGACCACTTCACCAAGTTTCTGGATATTTGAAATTGACAGAATGCATTTCTTCAATACTTCAAGCACCTAGAAGCAAATAAAAACAAAGTCCATTTCCCTTAGCGCTCAACAAAAAGTAGTACATTTTAAATGATTATAAAGTCAATATGTAACACAAATAGAATGACTCAGTAAATAAATCAATACTGGTGGGTATTCCACCATCTGAAAAGAGATGGACTAGGATTCCAATCGCAGTTACCTTTCACCCTTCAACAACAACAGAAGTCGCATTAATCAAGCTGACCGTACACCTTTTCACATGAAATATTTACACAAATACATACATATGTATGCATGTATTGGTGTTAGATAGCAGCCTGAGAATAAAAACATCTCAATAACCACCTACTATCATGCACCAGCCGCACCTCACCCAAGCAAACTTTATACTAAATCACATTGTTTCTCTTTGAGGGAGAAGGTTCGATGTAGGATTCATTGTGTAATATTGGAGCATAATAGACCAAAATATGATAAGCTAGTAAGCTAATCAGAATTAAAACATGATTGACTAAAAATTCCTTATGCTCCCCAAAGAATTATTTTTAATAACAACTCCGCAAAGAATGATAATCACACTATGTAATAGACAACGTAAGATTAACTTCCAAATGATAACCCTCCAAATGTGTTACATCCCGCATTTTCGTACGTTAAAATTTCGTCGTAAGTTAATCCACGTAAGTGCGGGAATAAGATTATTTTGGAATTATAAGTATTATGCTATTTCAAACAAGGGATAAGTAAATTCGTGAAGGTGAGAGGACACGTAAATCGAAGAAAACGAGTTTCGTCGAAGTTTGTCAATTTCGGATAAAATACGGTCCGAGCTATAATACTCGGTATTTATGGACTAGTGTCATACAAGGTACCACATGGCCATGATAGTAAGGTGTATAAAGTGTATTAAAAGTGAGTATCATTTTATGTAATTTGAGATAACAATTATGTGGGTAATTGGTTAATTATTGGGTAATGGGATATTACCTAAATATTTAAGGGATTATTGGATAATGATTAAACACCCCAACTAAGGAATTAGGTGGCAGCACCCTAATCCCATTTAAATGACTCATTTAGTCTTGCATAGATGTCATCTTTGTAAGGATTGGGATGGATTTGTCATCCAACTAGTGGGCAACACCCAAAAGCTTTCAATAACTTGTAAGACTATCACATTACTTCACATATTTGGCAATGTAAGTTCATACGTCTTACAAACCAAATACGTGAATTGCAAAACATTTAATAACATAGCAAATCCATGGTTGAACGTGAGCTCTTTAAAGAGCAAACGAATCCGTACCAAAAAAAATTGATAACGTTGGTTGATTGATTTTGTAAAGCGTGAATTGCAAATTCTAAGAGAATCGGTTCAGGTATGTTAAGGCTATCCCTTCTTTCTTTTTGGCATGATCTATACAACACGAATGAAACGAGAAAAAGCACAAATTTCATAAATGATTCTATTCATAGAAATACTAGAGATGTCGATGTTCTTGATTCCCTATGTGTCATATTATTCTATCATCTGTTCATTAGTCTCAAAAAATACGTAAGTTGATAAAGTTTGTTTCATGATATTGATCAGAGATATAATGGTCTTATGACGTACCGAGAGATTTTATTAACATATTTTCACATGCATTTCATGCATTTACATATGCACATTGACCCATGACCAGATGGCGTTATATACGCGTATATATATGTATATGGGATATGGGAAAGGTTATGGCGTTATATACGCACCACCACCTGATCAGCTGGTATACGTTGATGATTTTGCCCATAGTGGCCGAGATGACATGATGGGATGCCCTTAGAGGCTTGATGATATTATGAACACATGTACCTATGCACGACATGACATTTATATGTATATGCAGGACACTTTAAATATTAAAGGATTTCACAGAGCTATTCAGATTTACATGTCGAGTCTTTTACTCCATGTTTCTCTCATGTCTATTGTCTACTGATTTTCATTCCTTACATACTCGGTACATTATTTGTACTGACGTCCCTTTTGCCTAGGAACGCTGCATTTCATGCCCGCAGGTCCGATAGACAGGTCGAAAGACCTCCAAGTAGGCGATCAGCTCAGTGGAAGAGCTTGGTGCACTCCATTTACTCCGGAGTTGCTTGTTTGGTCAGTATAATTTAGATGTGTATTGTTTGGTATGGCGGGGCTATGTCCCGACCTTTACGATATTATGTATTCTTAGAGGCTTGTAGACAGATGTCGTGTATACGGATTCTTGTATGGCCTTGTCGGCCTATGTTTTGAGTATATAAAGGATCATGTCGGCCTTATAGGCTCGTACGTCATATGTATAAGTTTGGATTACACGTTGGATCGTCCAATGTCGAGTATTTCTCCATGTTTTATTCTACTTATCTCACGATAGCCTCTCTGGCTCATTTACCTATTATGATAGTATGATACGAAAAGATATGTTATGTTGGTACTCGGTTGAGTAAGGTACCGGGTGCTCGTCGCGGCCCATCGGTTTGGGTCGTGACAAAAGTGGTATCAGAGCAATTCTGTCTTAGGGAATCTACAAGCCGTGTCTAGTAGAGGCTTGTTTATGGGTGTGTCGTGCACCACACTTATAAGCATGAGGCTACGGGGCATTTAAGATTGTCACTCTTTCTTCCTACTCTAGATCGTGTGGTAGAGCTCAGTTGTAAGAACTCAATTTTCTAAACTCTATCTTACTTATAGCACGACGATACTTACATCCAAAAAGACGGTTGATAAGATATACAGGTGTGGAAGAGTTGAGTCAGAGGAACTCGATTTTTGCATCATGCTTATGATGGATAAATATGAGGTATTCAGCAGATCATGTGTATACTAAGATGTGTAAGCTTTTTGATTAGGATCCCTAAGGTAAGAATGCCTATTCACTCTTACGGTAAAAAGGAATAAGGAGGGAGACACAAGTTTCAGCAAGTAAAAGAAGCAAAGTGAAGAAGGGTACGAGGCACCCAATTAATGAGGATTATCAATATTACAGTTCCGGCAGAAAAATATAAGCATTGTGAGTTAATCTCAACAGTAACAGAGGTATGTATAATTGGCCACATCCATCTCAGTTATACCGTACAGGTGTAGATTAAGAAAAGGGGCAAGATATCAAGATCCAGCTGGGATTAGAGTAACCCAAAATGATGAATTGATTATTTGCGTTAGTTGACATTTCCGAAGGATATTGCAAATGTGCTAATAGATCTCGTTGTGAGACACCTAGATGGCGCACTCTAAAATAATACAGCTAGATATGAGTACTATAAAGATAGACACTGGAAGGCTTGAAGGTATAAATATTACCTTAGTGTGGCTCGCGTCCCTAGTAGATCGAGAACGTTAAGCAACCTGAAGAGCCACTGTATGGAGCAAAGGGGAGCTAAAAGAAAAAGAATATCTTGTTCGAGTTTTCAGAATAAAGTGATAGGCATAAATGTTAGCGGAAAATAAGAAAAGAGCTAATAAAGCATTATGAGTAAGATATGATACATGGATGACAACGGTAGATCAAAAGATGATAGTATTACAGAATCTATAGTCAAGTGAAGGAAGAGACGAGAGGTGACAGGCCTTAGGACAACAACAGAGTATAGGCTATAAAGTCATATCCTCACTTCGAAAAATAAGTTCGTGACTCTAACGCAACTACCGGAAGGAAAAGTCAGACCCCAGAATAATAAAAATCAGTATGCGCTGGTGAACAAAATAAACTAAACGTGAATTGGGGACTGAGTGATATGATAATAGTCGGCATCATGAGAATTTCAGAGATTACGTTCCGGCGATAATAGAATGGACGACAAAAGAATACCTTTTAAAGGTCATTCAGCAAGATGCTTCCCTAAAGCAATCAATATGAGCAAAGTTAACCTTAAGGGACTATGTGCGCCAGTTACACTAAGTGTCATCCTCGCGAGTAAAGAATTTGGTTATCCTTGGTACAAAAAGCATTACTACAAGGCGAGTAAGGGTAATCGATGATGTGAAAAGATACCAAAGATGAAGAGGTAAAACATCTATAGGTAGATCGTCGTAGCTCCAGCTCTTAGTACTCCCCTAAAGTGGGGAAATATGGAGTGATGTGGCGTGAAGTCAGAATTTAGTGGTTCTAGTAATCATGGAGTGGTAAAGGAATAATGCGGTAAAATGAAAAAGGGATGAGATTGCACTCATCCAAATCCTACAGATATGCTACGATTCCAAAACATTATGCAAGCACGACGTCAAGGAAGGGAAGTAAAGGTTCCGACCCGGGATAAAAAAAAAAAGAGCTAGTACGAGAGGTAAGTTAAGACAAAGGAAATACCCCAAGAAAGTTTACGTGAAATATTGATATGATAATGGGCCAACGAGCAGTTAGCAGTTGATTCAGGAAGAGCCTGGTTAGGGCTAGACAAGAAGATACAGATAAACCAATAGATCATGCAAGATAAACATAGTAAAACCCAGTACAGTGAATTCAGCCTCGCAGTTATGACATCGTGACCTTTGAAAAATATTCAGATAGGAGTTTAGGTAGTCAAAGGTACCATATGAGTGTTACGGAGATAAAAGAGAGTGTCACTGGGAAGTTAGTCAAAATATCAGTTCAGAAGCAACCCTACAAGCACAAGGGCGTGGAAATAAGTAACTACGGATAATTATAGACGAGGAAGGACATCAAAAATTCCGCCGAGTATACGATGTAATAAGCTCACAGCTTTACAAGAATCAGAAAGTCCTCCCTAAATACTACGATGAAAGACTAGCTGAGGAAATAAGGAAGAAGACTTCAACCTAAGCACAGTGACCTAAAGAAGAAATGGTCGTGTAACAACACCCTCACAACAACATTGTAAGCGCTCCAAAGAAAGTGGCACCTACCGTGGCTAATGAATGGAAAGTAAAATCAAAAGTAATATTCGAGATCATATGAGTTGCCCGAAAACTCCGGCATGCGTAGGAATTAAGATAAGCTAAGTATGCACGCAACAAGGGGGCAGAAAGACCA